AGTTCCACTGGGGGGGGAGGAAGACTTTGGGTTTTAATCCAATTTATTCATGTCAACTATGGAGCTAAGAATGTTTTCTTTTAAGGAAGCTTTAGATAGAGAGAAGTTTGGCAAACTGGAAGCACAATTCTCCATTATGTTTAATGTTAGGAAAAATATTCTCCTAAAGCAGATGGAATTCAGATTTGGATAGAGGCAGCAGCTCCTCCTCTCAGTGATAGAATGAGCCAAGCTGGTTTACTCGATGTACTCCTTACCCAACAGGCACTTTTGACTTGAGTCCTACACCCCTACAAAATGGATCATAACGTCTTTGCTCACTATGCTCTTCTCGAGGCACAGCGAGGGCCTTCTTAGCATTCCAAGTCCACATAAGAGCAGAACCTTGGATGTAGGAACAAGGACTTTCTCTAGAGCCGTACTAAACTACAGAAAACTGCCTCTCCGGGGAAGATCACCAAGCACTGATTTTGTGTGCCTTTAGAAGCTTTCTTTACAGCCAGACCGCTGGTGAATTGTCAGGGCTTGGACCCTTCTATTTTGCCAATGACCTTTCCTTGTCTTCTGATGATGCTTGTATTAGCTACCGGTTTTTATATTTTGCAATCATGTGGTTTTATTGCTTTTACTGAGCAGCGTGACTAACCCAAGCTTGTCAGATCTCGGAAACAAAGCATGGACAGACGTAGTTAGTACCTAGATGGGAGACCACCAAGGAAGAGCAGAGTTGCTATGCATAGGAAGGCAATGGCAAACCAACTCTACAAGTCTCTTGCCTTGAAAACCCAAAAGGGGTTGCCATAAGTCGGCTGCATGTTGTTATTATTATTATTATTATAAGCTTTCACCTTTTAGGAATACACTCTACATAAAACCAATGGGGAAAGGTTATATGGAAAAGTGATGTAGGAATGGTACCCTTTCCGCATTTGGATCTCATCCCTAGTTTTATCAGAGTGCAACTCGCGACACAATACCTTGCATTTATCCCTGGTTATAACAGCATCCATTTATCCCGGGACAAGTGTGGGGCAAAACCAGGGTGACCTCAATGTAATGTGGAAACAAAAAAAACACCCTGAGATAAGTACAGGGGTGAACACGAGTATAGTGTAGAATGTAAGTTCAGGGACAGGGTTGAACAGGATTTAAGGTCTAGTGTGGAATCACCCAAAAATAACTACATTGGTGAGATTTTAGGAACAGAGTGACTCCACAATAACTGAAAGGCTTCTCTGGACTAGAGACCTATAACTTTATTTGCCTACAAAGATAAATGTTGAAAAATAGACTGTTAGGAACACAAGTTTTTTGCATCTTTCCGATACATGTCTACTCAGAAGTAAGTTCCACTGTGTTCAATGGTGCTTACTCCCAGGTAAGCGTGCACAGGTTGCATGCAGCTTCCTGATATATTTTTTTTCGTAATCCCTCAGTTGGGATGACAAACAGGTTGCCTGAATCACTCAAGTATGAATGAGAGAACAAAGCTTTTGTAACACTTGTCTGTATTCAACCTTGCAAGACATGTCTCTACTCATACTTAATGGGATGGGCAAGACCTTGAGGATCTGAAATCTGCAACCAGAAGAGGAAAGAATCAAGAGTATATCTCAACAGGGGAGAAAACAATGTTCCACCAAGCTGCTGCTTCCAACACTGGAGTGAAGACAACATTTACTAAGGGAATGCAACTCATACTCAGGTAAGCTGCCCTTATATGGACAAAAGGATAAATCCAAAACAGCCACACAGACCTAGGGCATGTGGGTGAGGCATATAATAATGTCAATAAAGATGTACAGAATTCTGGACACATCTAAAAAGAGAGGAAAATGGCCCTCTGAACAAAGCATAATACTTCAGAGATTAAATGAAATTGTAAGGTCGTGATGTTAAAGAATGTATGTATATGAATTGAGAGAAGCGCAAGGTTATGAAACTTGAGGAACAGAAGCGCATGAAGCTGGAGATGAACTGGGCGGGGTCAAAAGAGAAAAGTTGCACAGGCCAATGGAGACCACCTCACAGAGCATCACAAGCAGAGGAAAGCTGAGGGTGCAAAACGCATAGCGCAAGGGCCCCAAGAACAACTAAGTCTGTGAGTAAGGCAGCGCTTGTAGGTGCTTCAGGATGGCCACAAGCAGTGTTCCCTCTAAGCAGAGTTAGTGTGAGCTAGCTCACAGTTTTGGCCTCCAGCTCACACATTTTTGCCTTAGCTCAAGGATGGCTCCAGAGCAAACTAATTTAAGCAGTAGCCCTATCGCTCACTCACAACTTTAATGCCAGTATCTCGCAAAGTAGAATTTTTGCTCACAGGACTCCACAGCTTAGAGGGAGCACTGGCCACAAGATTTGTCACAGGGTCACCAAGTTCCCTGGGAAGGCCCAGATTCAGCGCAGTAAGTGGCATGGAAACTTGTTTGGGGAGTAGGCAGGGCTGCTACTGGTTAGGTGTAAAAGGCCTGGAAAATGCAAGTCTGCATGCAAGAAGGCGAGTCAAGGGAGGGTGACCTGCAGGCTGCAGGAGAAGAAGGAGTGGACGATTTGGAGCAGGAGCGAGTCCAGGGGCTGGGCAAAGGGATGGCGCCAGTGTTCCCTCCAAGCTGAGTTAGTGTGAGCTAGCTCACAGTTTTTTAACCTCCGGCTCACACATTTTTGTGTTAGCTCAGGAAGGAGGGCTCCAGAGCAAACTAATGTATGCAGCAGCCACATCGCTCGCTCACAACTTTAATGCCAGTAGCTCACAGAGTACAATCTTTGCTCACAAGACTCCACAGCTTAGAGGGAGCATTGGGTGGTGCATGTGCAACCGGTTTCTGATCTACGGCCGAAGAGGGAAGCCTGCAGGGCTGGCAACGCTGGATGGAGACGAGGGCGGACGGGCTCTTTGCCTAACCCGGGGCCGCCCCCCAGAAGGTACTCCTGCGCCTCCCCCCGCCCCCGGCGCCCTGCACCCAGCCCCCTCCCCACAAACTTGGCTGCCCCGATGGCAACCCTTCCCCACCACCCCCTCCCAAAAAAATGGCTGCCCCGATGGCAACCCTTCCCCACCCCCACCCCAGCGCCTTTGCATGCAAGAGGGGGTGCAGCAAGGCAGGCTGGCTTTCCTGGGGAGACGAGGAAGCGGAGGCGGCTCCTGGGGAAAGGGGGTGGGCAGAGATGGGGTGGTGGTCCCGTCACCTCTTGACGCGGATGATCTGGTCCCGCATGGGGCGGATGTCCTGGAAGCTCTGCTGGTTGACGAGGCTGTAGACGAGGATGAAGCCCTGCCCGTTCTTGATGTAGAGGTCCCGCATGGAGGCGAACTGCTCGGTGCCGGCCGTGTCGAGGATCTCCAGGACGGAGGGCGAGGCGTCCACCTCGATCTCCTTGCGGTAGAAGTCCTCGATGGTGGGGTCGTACTTCTCGATGAAGGTGCCGGTGACGAACTGGACGGTGAGCGCGGACTTGCCCACCCCGCCCGAGCCCAGCACCACCACCTTGTACTCGCGCATCCTCTTCCCCGCCCGGCCGCCGGACTCGCCCCGCCGCCGCCGCCGCCGCCGCCGCCTCCGGGCGCTCAC